TCTCTTATTTTGATATCGTTCGATATTTCGACGATTCTGATAGTGCATCACGGTTGGTTGGCCATCCAAAGGTGTGATTTACACTTACCACGATTCATAGGGTGTACGCACATCGTGTTATACCCCACGATTCGTCGCGTATTCGGTGTCGCACCCCGGAAAGCGCGCATGCGCGATTCGTGGCGCTTTCAATTCTCCAAACGACATTCGTCAGTTGCGCTCCGACACCGACGACGTAGAGGTCGTTTCTCCCGCGTTTCGATCCTTCCCTTCGATATCTCGCCGACGCGACGAGTAACCATGTGATCTTCGCTCTCATCGATATTTCCTTCGACTATGGATGATCCGTGACGCACAGATCGAACGGATATCCTTCGACGTTTGATTCTTTCGGCAATGTAAAGATGGAATTCGGTTCGTAAAGTTTGATCGAGTTTCGAATTGTGCACTCAAGGATCGGCCACGTGGAAATGTAACGTCGAACGAGGATTTTGTGCACGGTAAAAAGCATGCGAGTGACGTTTGTCGTTATGGACGCGAGCCACAGGACTTTTTTGAGGTTATGGTCACGTGTGTAGACCATGTAGAAAAGCGGTAAAAGTGGTAGATGGTTTTTCGCACGTGATCACGGTCGGTACGTGATGTTATTATGTGAAACAATGCGGTGGGGTGATGGATCGTGTGATTTATTGCGATGCAAGTTGTTCGTTCTTCTGGTTCTGGTCGGGTGCAGCGATGGATACTTGAATATCTTTATCAGCCAGTCCCAGGTTATGAAACTGTTGGGTGAGTACTTTGTCGACTATTTTTAATTTATACGATAATTTATACGTCGTTTTTTTCACGATTATTCTACATATAAGATATTTATTTATTACATATTATATTCATCGTAGAAAATAGAAATTGTTTTGCGTTCTATTCTTTATTTAACGCGTAATAAGAAAAAATTAACAAATTATAGTCAACGAACGATGGATACGTTTAAGAGAACAATATTATGAAATGTAATGACTACGCACTAAATCGTGTACTGTTTACATTCGTGTTTACTCAAACGATATTAGAAACAAAATATACATTGGAAATCTACGACTGCCTTAGGTGATTTTTTCAATTTCCCAAAATAAAAACGCGAGTTCGTTTCATTTAACATTCACAAAGCCAAATACTTTTTGCGACTAACTACGTATTTCGAAGAAACACATACAATTTCGATTCGTGGCGCGTAAAATATTATTACGTTATATTTATCGCACAGAAATATTTCATCGAGAACAAATTTCGCTACAATCGTAACGCGTTGAACGGTTCGTCGTCATCGAAAGGGAAGAGAAAAAGAAAAAGACGGAAGCACGTAGAATTAAATTCTAGCATTTTATCGTATCGAATGACGAATTCAAAAGAACCACGAACACTCGATTAACTTTGTCATCGATGTCGCTTCATCAAGAGAGTGATAGGGGAAACTGCGCAATGGGTGTATCGTTGAACTTTTAATTAGGAACGACTAGTAACGAGTCACGACCCCGTATAATTATCGAATTAACAATAACCCTGATAAACGATGAACGAATTTAACAGTGCGCATTTGCGTTAATCACGTCGAATCCCTCTCGTCCCCCGTTCTTAATGGAATATCAAGCAGCGTCGCAAAAAAAAAAAAACGGACTCGTTTATCGAGGGGGGAAATTGCGTTACAATCAAGGATAATTTTACGCGAGAGAAATAAACTCGTCGTTTTTCGTCCTCGAATTATCATTTCACTCTTCGTTATCGTTCTTTAAAATTCACGCATTATCCCATTGCGTTAATATCGCGTAAAAGTCGTGAAAGTGAGAGGGGGGAAAAAAATATTCCTTTATATATCATATACTCTTTAAAATGAAATAAATTTTTTTAAATCGGATCAAACGATTTGAAACTGCAAAACGATTGAAAACTCGTTGTTTTTCACGACTTTTGATCTATAATTGCAATAAATCTTTATATCCGTAGCTTTTTCATGCATCGATCGTGAATTTTCGATGAAATTAGATTCATAAAGTGCACGTTTTTAAATTTTTATCGTAGTCATCGTAGACAAAAAAATTATGATTTTTTCTTCCGATCAATGAATAATTTTTAAAAAATTCTCTTTTACACGTATTAAAACTAATTCTTTTGAGTCGTTTTCAAAGGATGTACGAAATATTTTTTTCCTCCCACTGTACATTTCACTATACGATCCATTCAAAGTTAAATTGTATTCGGACTAGAGAATTTATCGTTTCCTTATTTTCCACTTTGATTTACGGCATCGCTGTAGGACCAACACACGTTCCGCCCATTTTCCTTCCAATTTAAGACCATTCCAAACCGCGTTTCCCACGAGTTTCTTCAAAATGGAGCCGAAATCACCATGCTCCACAATTCGGCCAGCCTGGTCGAATGTGTACGGAATGGCGCTCGCTTGTGTGCGTGCGTGTGTGTGTGTGTAGTAGATTTTCGTTTTTGACGGTCAACACGGTTATAACACACGCGCCGGCTCTGTGTACCGTACTTAGTTCTCTGTTCCATTCGATATCACTTTACGGTTCCATGATTCATACGCCTCTCTATCTATGTACACACAGCTTGGACGCGTCAGTTTTCTGGCGAAAAAGCGCGAAAAAAGAGGGGAAAAATCGTGGAATGGCTGTATTTACGAGGCGGTGGTGCTCGTGACTCTTGGAAAATCGAGGCAATTCCCTCCATCGCTCATTTCCGCTGTCAATGATCTTACGAACGTCTCGACGTATCCATCAGCTTTTCCACGGTTGAACGGTGGATGCGCGTCGTTGCGCGATCGGCGAGAGATGGATATCGGCGAGAGAGAATTTGGTTGCAAATTGGAAACGAGCGTTCCACCGTGAATTCGATATATATTCTCGATTGATGATCGCGCACGAGCGTGAACGCGTTAGACGAGGTTATTAATTTTTGATATCCCGCCCTCTTGTAAATCGATGCTTATGCAATTTTCCATTGATGAGAGCTCGAATCGGTATCCGGTTATCCATCTATTCGCTCCAACGGAGCTACATAATCATAGATATCTTATCAACGCCTCGTATAAAATATTTTTTCAAAACAAATTTTCTACATTTCGGATATCCAATTTAATAATTCTTTTTCTCGTATTTTTATCACAAAAGAGGTACGGTTTCCCCGTAACGTAACGATCTACGTTATCCTCGCTGAAATTTGAGAAGCACGCGGTCCGCGAAAAGTACCCTTTTTTATTTTTTTACTTTAATTTTTCAACAATTTTTTTTTATTTACAAAAAAATTAATTTACAAAAATTTCGACGAATTTTTCAAACTCCTTCCATTAATTCTAACGAATTCTCATCTTTCAAGACATCGTAACGGTATTCGCCTTATTCGATCCAATCGTGCTTATAAAATTCGTCGAGTAAATTCTCTCTCTCTCTCTCTTTCTGTTTCAGAGAGAAAGAAAAAAAGCCTGTTACTAGAAGTAGCCTCTCCACGAGCGTCTCTCGAGTTCCTTCCATCCTAAGGTATTCAGATATCGCTGAATACTTGCTCCTCAAACTTATCGGCCGTTGACTACGAGAGTCGAACCGATCTCCTTACCGATCCCTCCTACTCCCTGTCGCCTTGAAAAATGCTCGATGGAGGGAGGGAGGCAGGCCGATTTCGCGCAAGGTGAAACACAAATCGAAGGAAACGACGTGTAACAATGGGTGGGTCGGTTCTCAGACCCGATTTCTCAGCCGCGCAAGCGACCGTGCCAACTTAACGGCCGACGATAATCGTTAGATCTCGACTCCCCCTCCCTCCTCCCCTCTGTGGCGCGTCGCGGAGGACGAGGAAGGGGGGGAGGG